GGGCAGGGGCAAGTGCGACGGGAAGGGGTAGGGCAGGCCGCCCGCGGCCGCCGCGTGGCTCATCATGTACGTGTAGAAGGCGGGGTCAGCTGGATGCGGCCACGTCATGGCCAGCCGCTGCCGCTTGTCCTTCATGCGCCGGTTCTGGAACCACACCTGGGAGAGGAGTGGGGCGAGTTGGGCCGCTGGACTAGGCCCAGTGTCCGGGTTCAGAAATCCTGCAGCTCCAGGGCACAGTGCCCATATCCCAGAGGGGAGCCAAAGCAGACACAGACTGCTGAGATCAGGCCCCTCCACCACCTACTGCCTCTGGGATCCCTCCGTGGGAGGTTCAGGGAGTGGCTCCGGTCCCGTCCCTCCTTCCTCTGCGCACGTGGCCAGGACCCTCAGGGTAGGTGTGCAAATAGTAGGGAACTAGGATTCCACGGGTCTAAGGCCACAGAGAGCATTTCCTCAGAAACTCGCCCTCTCCCACCTTTGGGGCACCCATCCCTGTTTTCTATTTGGCTATGAAAAGGGTAGAATCAACCTCGTGGCAACTGTGGCTGCCTACAGACTGTCAGGAGAGTAAATCTTAAATCTGAACTCTGGCCAAGATTCCCCGCACACAATTTAGGGAGTGGACGGTTGGTCTTTACTTCCTGCTAAATGGGTGCATACCCGCCTCCGCGTCCTGGTCGTGTTTACCTTGATGGTGGTTTCTGGCAGGTTTAGGGCTGCCGCCAGCTCACACCTCCGCGGCCTAGATACGTAGTTCTCCCGGTAGAATTCCTTCTCCAGCCGCGCAATCTGCTCTCGGGTGAAGGCTGTGCGGTAACGCCGCATCTGGTCACTGGCGCTGCAGGCCAAGGTGCCTTGCGAGCCTCCTCCACCACCACTGCCGCCGCCGTTGCTCTTAGGGGTCTCGCTGCTGCCGTTTGGACTGCCGACCAGTGCTTCGGAGCCGGGCCCTGCGCAGGGAGCCCAGAGCACACACGTGTGCACACACACTCACACACAACAGACAAAAATGCTGCTGACAGGGACTGTAGGCCCAAGGCCTGGGGCGGTGGGGGGAGGGGTGAAAAGGGACACTGTCAGGCATCTCAGTCACTGCTTCTGCTGGGGCTCTGGGGTCTCCCAGAAAAGGAGCAAGGGTTTGCCATTGATTTTGTTTTGTTTTGGTATCAGGGTTCGAACTCAAGACCTTGAGATTGTGAGGCAGGCATGGCGTCATTAAGCTAAAACCGGGGCCCTCGGGTTTGCCACTGAGATGGCAATATAGATGTTTTTGGGGAGGCCTGGTTTGGCTGCTGTCTGGAAGGCCTGGATCCAAGGCATGCTGAATACAGTGGGTTCCCAGCCATCTTCCCCACCTGACCTGAGGCACAGGCAAAGTGCATGCTTTTGTAGCTTTCTGCCCACCATTGTCCAGAGTTGATCAAAGGACACATATTTAGCAGGCAAGTGAATGAAGATACACCTTTGTGCTGGAGCACCATGCACTCTGGGACTCGGTGCACTACAGGATGCAGGGTATGGAGTGAATTTCCTTGCTCTTGCATGTATACTAGGACACCAGCACAGGTGTGGGAGCATTTACTAGGCTGTGTGTATGGCGGGGATGGTATATCTGAGGGGAGGGCAGGTTGTTCTGAAGACATGTCAAGGTTGGGAGTCTGCGTTGAACGGCTAAGACGGTATGGGGTGGGCACTCAGCAAGGTGTTCCCTGCCAAGGCTAAGAGGTGGCCTTTCTTCCCTCCTGGGCTCTTCCTACCCATTCCCACGGCTTTGTGGAGGAGTGCCTGCTGATGAGCTCTCCCTCCCAGTTTTTCACCCTTTCAGGCAGTGATTGTTGGCACAGAGGGAGACTTTTCCAGGGCCCATCAACCCCCCACTCCCATTAGCTTTGGTGGGAAGGAGGTCTCCAGTTAAAGTAGCCCCCCCACCTAGGGCCTGCCCCAGGGAAGGGTGGGGCTTTAACCCCCTGCGGCTCCTTTTCCTTTGGTTGGAGAAGTGAGACTAGGAAGGAAAGGGAAAGGGGGTAGGGCCCCGATCTCTGCCTTTTCAAATGCAACCGGAGACCGAAGGCAATTAGACCATTGGGACCATTTCCGACCTGGCGCCGCCAAGCCCGGGAAGTGACAAGGTAATTTGGACCTCTGACCGACGTGCAAACTCGTCGGAGGGCTGCAGCACCCGGGCAGCCGGAGTCCGCCGCGATTTTACGGTCCTTTATGGACTCCTTGCTTCCGCGCCTAGATGCGCCTTACACCCCGCCAGCCACAAACTGCCCGAACTCGCGTTTGATCTTGCTCTACCCGGGGAAGGTGTCTTCGCGCTCAGTTGAAGCATTACCACAAAGCACTGGGGGGCTGGAGCACGATTTGAATCCCCCAAGCTCAGGATTTGCTACACCCACCCACTCCGGGCACAGCTGTCGCCCTCAGTCCCACCAACGCCAGAACACAGTAGGAGACCCCTCCAGGGCTCAGATAGCAGGGAAGAGTTGCTCGGGTGGGTCCCCCCAGCCATTCTGCCCTGGGGAAAAGGAGTGTCTTCCTCCTGGCCTGGGCTGAAGTGGAGGGTGGGCGCAGTGGGAGGCCCGGGGAGCGGAGGGGCGCGGTGGCTACCTTTGCTGTGCTGGTACTCGGCGTTCCCGGTGGAGCAGTCCGGGGTGCAGCTCACCTCGATTTCTTCATAGAAATCCGACTCGGTGTCTGAGCCACTGTGTTGCCCGGGCCCGGAGAGGCTGTCCGCAGTGGGGACCGGGGGTCCCGGGCCAAGCATGGCCGCACC